GATGATGATGATGATGATGATGATGATGATGATGATGATGATGATGATGATGAAGATGATGATGATGATGATGGCACCCAAATAAAAAAAACTCATACACACATTGTGAGGAAAATACTCCCTCCCCCATTGCAAAACTTACGGGAAACAGTGATGTGATAAACATCTAAATCAAAAGCATTTTATCAGTGACATAATGTAAACAGTGTACATGAAGCAAAAAAACCCCAAACAAAACAAAACAAAACACACCCAAAACAAACAAAAACAACAAAAACCACCCCAAAACAAAGCGCCCCCCCCCACCTCAAAACCCAGGCGCTAATATGATCATAATTAAAATGTGATCCCGCTTTTTGATTAAACTTATCACGATATCATACCTTGACAGACACTCTGAAGTGATAGAAAGACCTTGTTTCATAGTCCAGCTTCTTCCTTAAGGTAATGTACCCAAACGTTGCATTCATAGTAAAGGTCGCCTCATAGTCAGCCTGATTCGCCTAAGGACAGAGAAATATAAAAGAACACAAGTGTAACAAGATAGAATATATACATGTTTGACATATTAAAAATATTATATATAATATTTCAAATTATCAATTCTCTCATTAAAAAACAAAAACAAACGCAAATGTAATTTAAGCAAAGTTTTGGACCTTTGTCACTAATCTCAAAAGTTTTCCAGAGATTTAGGTCCTAAAAGTTAACTAAACAGGAATGAGGCTTGAGTTGAACAGAGAAAAACCAGAATTCAATTTTTTAAAATGTGTGTGTGTGCCAGGTGAAAGGTCCCAAATGTCGGCAAAGTTGTTTTTGAGCAACGGGATAAAATGCCAAGAAAGTCCCAACTGTTCAAAGCTTTCGTTCCGTCTGAAAACACATGTTTACCAATTTATTCTTAATAACATATTGTAAGGATTTTATAATATTTTAAGTCTAATTTTTAAAAAATTAGTTATATTTGCAACATGTTGCACTTCATTAAAGGTTAAAAATGTTCTAGAAATTGGGTGTTTCTCTAAACGTTGTGTTTACAACCCAGCGTTACAAAATGTGGCATTTTTTAACAACTATGCATGATATTTGAAAAAAAAAAAATATCAGCGTTTTCAGCAATGAATTTAGTACAAAAATATACCCTTATGTCAATATCCTACGTTTCGGACAACTGCGACCTTTCTCCAGGCACACAAAAAAAACTTGGTGGTCCAAAATCGATAAGAGTAGGCTTCGGCTTCCACTCGGGCAAAATTCAAAATTTCCAAGCAACTCAAAACGTTTAATGTGTCCCGCACTCTCATATGACCTTATGTAGATCTAGTTGCGAGTGCCGTACAACACTTACCAAAAACTATTAAAAAAAAACAACAACCCCACACACACACACAAATAATGAACTTTTTTCATCATAAGTATAAAAACTTAAGAAATACGCTAAAGCAAGGAGAAAAAAAAGTAAATTTGCAGTTTTAAAGACACTACAGCTCTGAAAGTCACCAAACTTTGGTAGCCATTTATTTGCTGATTTTTTCTTTGACACCAAGCGCACCCCCCTCCCCCATTCAATCGCAAATATCTAAAATTCTATTCAAGGCAGTTGGGGATTTTTTCCCCATTAAGACAAGACAATTGAACAAACTTTAAGATGGTATCAATAACCCCACATGCCCAATATTGACGAGCGCCTGACTCCACCGTGTTGTGCCACATATATGTGAAGTGTGCTGACAAATTAAGTTACTCCTCGGATTCAAGCCTTATGGAAATAGAAACATCACGCTTATAAGTGAAGTTTTACAATTTATAAGTATGAAATAATAAGAAGCATGTTATACATACAAATAGAACATCAATAGAAGATCTACTAATTTGACCTCGGCGTTGATTTTTAGCCAATATCTCCATTTGTGGATTGTGAGAAGTAACTCATTTTGTCAGCACGCCACACACATATTGGAATTATCCCTCAGGAACTGAAGTGCACATGGTCTATCTTTCCGATGGTTGGCCCGGAACTACCGTTCACGTGTACAGTTTGGGGCTGTCTTCATGGACAAAGTGAATCACAACTAAAAAGTAACGAAGTCCAGTATACGTGGGTGGTTGGCGGGTGCTCTGGTATGGTTAGCTCCTTCTTCCCTATCAAACATCTATCGTCCTTACCTCCCCTCCTTCTATTTTGTGTTTGTTACTCTCTTGTAACATCTCTAATCTTCGGAACTTATATGACTTTATTGTGTTGCAAGTGCCGTAAAACTCTTACTAAAACTAAAAGCACGGTATACCATCAACAAAACGTACTACTTTATCATAACCTCGCGTTGACTATAGGTAACACAACATGTGCGCAACGTTATAGAAATCAGATGGTGTCATTTAGTTATGGAAACACAAAAAGTTGCACATCCTCATGGAACCAAAGTGGCAAAAACGATTGACGAGACAGGCATTCAGACACGGCTTGCTACTTACCGGAATATTGGCCTGAAAAAGGAAAAAGAAAAAAAGAAGAGGTATAAACAACATTGTAAAGGGAATATAAAGCAAACTTCACCTCTAGTACACACAAAACCTGCTCAAACACCCCCACCTGTTTGGGCCAATCACCTGTGCAAACAACCACTAGACTTCTATTCAAGAGAGATTTCTTTACACCAACAACGTCATAATAGGCCCAAAAATTGACGAGCGCCTAATTCTGCTGTATCGGGACACATTCACATTAATTAACCATAAGAGATAACAACAACAACAACAACAACAACAACAACAACAACAACAACAACAACAACAATATCCACGACGTCCACCTGTCTCAGAAAACCACATAACTCCTCCACAATTTCTCTCCCTGGGCAATTCCAATTTTGAGTCTACAATATTAATAATAATAATAATAATATTAGTGTGCATGTGTTGTAAATATTATCTACATTATTTCTATTTTTTAAAATGTAAGTTCTAATTGTCGTTCTAGAGTATCGACAATATAGAAACAGTTCTGACTGATTCAGCTCCGGACTCCTACCTTTATGGAGAAAACGGGCCTTGAGCCGAGCCCAGTGTCAGGATCTGTGGCAGACACGGTGTACACCGAAGAACCCACGGGCGCATCCTGAAAGAGAGAGAGAGAGAGAGAAAAAAAGGGGGGTTGGGGGTGAGGGTAGGTACAAGACAGATCATGTCAGGAAACGATTGAATTAAACTTACTGTGTGGCGTGCTGACAAAATGAGTTACTTCTCGCAATCCACAAAAGGAGATATTGGCAAAAATTCAACACCGAGGTCAAATTAGTAGATCTTCTATTGATGCTCTGTTTTAAATGTATAACATGCCTCTTATCATTTCATACTAGTTAATTGTAAAACTTCTCTTATAAGCATGATGTTTCAATTTCCATAAGGCTTGAATCCGAGAA